GCAACTATAGTTTACTATTGTAGCTTTTGATTTCTTTTGTGTATTTTACCAATTACAATAGTCTTGCTTAAGTCGGTATTTTCCTTTACTTATCTTGATCTTCAAGAACGTAAAAAACAAAAAGACACCGACTTAGACAAGGCAACAATTACAATTGCGATTTGGCTTTTGTTTCTGGATCAAGTCATGGGAATTCACCATGAGTAGGAGTCTTACTCTAACCTCAGAATCCCACAATACATAGTCTTGGGATTTAATTCGTTTCACACATTGCAGAATATTTAATACCATTTCACTTAAAAGATACGAAACGGCACTAAACGAACATATTTTCAGTGAGCCTTTTTGCAAGGGTCAAGTTGGCAAAGCATCAATTTCAAGCTGTAGAATCAATTTTCACATTGACAACCACTGCATGGAATGACCTTGGATACTGTGTGGTTATATAATGCACTGCAGTTTTAAGAAATACTGTGTTCGGATTGGCTGGAATCGGAACACATTGCCTAACTATGTGTGCATAGTTGATAATAAACCACGATCGATGTAGAGTATGTCCACGATGTAAAATGTCCACCTTAATTAGCGAGAAAAATCATTATATTCGGAGCTCTGTTTTAACGATGTATATTGACTAGTCCATCTTACAGAGATATTTTTTCAATTTTTGAATAGAGAATTTTGTATTATTTTAGAGATCAACATTTTTATCGTTTGAGTATTTTCATGTTTGTTACTGAATGTTTTCATGTTGATTTCATTACCTATATGATCCTGTTAACTACAGACAAATACAGAGTTTAGCCACTGACCATTGGTAAGTGTACTGTAGGGGATGATTGGCCGGTTGGTCAGAGCAGGCGATATGCGCCTCTGGGTAGAGGGGAGTAACTAACATGTATGTAGTTAAACAACATAACGGAATTAGATGCCCTAATACACAGAGATACACCGATCTTTCCTCTGTAGAACATGATAACGTTTGTGAAATGTCACTTAGGAGGGTGTATAGTAATGTTCTTCGATCCTTTTGTTATGTTAATCACAGTGATCGATTGTAAGACATGTATCTTGCATATGGTCTGGGGCAAAACATGGCATCGCTACTTCACTCCGATATTGAACGACGGATCTCGACTGAGAATTATTCCGTAATTGATCCGGAGAATCTATGCGATAAAGTAAACACTGAATGATAATTAAGAATAAAATTTGATACATTTTCGTGTGGTTTCGATATATCTTTTCTTCAGATTGATAAACGCTATATGCCAACGATATTTCAGTTGATTGAGGGATGGTGTCGAAATGTTAAGGATTGTGGGAAAAACGAAGTTAATTTCGTTGAGAGAAGGCAGATAAACCACAATTGCATTAAAAATTCAAGTAAAAGGAAAATCAGAATTTGGTTATATTGGCTAGGGGAGTAGTGTTAACACTCAATCCGTCGGACAAACATTTTCCAAACAATGAAACGTTATCTAGGAACCACTATTTGAAGACGGTTCTAAAAGTTCAGTTTGTAAGAAACGGGGAAATGTTTTTTTATGATTTTCCCCTCTGAGGGTGGTCGGTATATGATGTATGATTTATTTCACAGGAAATAATACGGAAAATTAGCATACATATTTTCAATGGTAATGCTTCATAATTTCCCCTTTTCCGATGCTGTTTCTTTTGTTCTCAGACAACAAAGGGATACAGCGGCAGTGATTTAATGCTTTCTGTCGGATACATTTTCCCAAGTGCTATGATTAGTGAGCCTTTACATTTTCAAATGGAAATAAGTTTTATTGTCCACGGCCAAACACAAGTCCACCAAGTTAGTTAACCGACTCTTAGCGTTAGAGCTATATTTGTGAATTTGTAAATCTGGGAAATCTTTGTCGTTTTCTTCGGAAAAGCACATCCGATTCTTGGTTTAACATTGGATTGGCCACAGTGAATAACATGGAAAAATCTGGTAATATCAGTGTCTCATTATTTTGTCACTAGCAGTTTTAACACTAACATCTGCATCTTTTTAACCGGCCTTTGGCTTTCAGCATCAATGTCACCACCAACTATTATCGTTACGTATACACCTTTCGTGGTGATGACATATGTCATATGTATTTCTTTGATGGTGTCGATGCATTTTTATTACGAACTGGATGGTGAAAGCCTAGATACAATAATATCATAATTATAATGTATTGCTATTTTATCTGCAATATGTATTCCTGTAATAAACGTCATGAAATGCTACCTGAAAATTGCCATATACCGTTATAACAATAACGATTTCAAGCTGTAATTTTCACGAAAATGGAATGAAATTTATATGGGTATTTTATTGTAATATACATGGTGATAGATTGGTGTGGAATAATGCGTTGGATACGGATTTTGATTTTAACCACTTTTGTGTCTTTGTTGGTATAGATCTACCATCGCAAAAATAAGTGATACATGCAGGTCTTGTGGTATCCAAAGCTCATACTGTTTTTCTTCAGTCGAGAGGGTCTGATCATGGACCACGCGGGAATAGAAGTCCATGGTCTGATTAATCAGAAAGAGATAGATTAGCTGTATCACGATTGCTGTAAAACGTCCCTGAAATACTATACGATTTTATAATTAATCCGATCATATTTGTATCCTAAACTATTCATGGTTCATTCATTAATGTTACTTAATACCTGTATATTTGCCACTCGTGATAAATTATTAACTGGACGCGAAAACTAAGTTTACAGCCTATTGATTTATCAATAAAAAGGTGCAGAACTGAAAATATTATTGCTGGAACGATACCATTAATAATATCAAAATACGACGGAATCGAATCCTAAACAAATCGACACGTTAAACCCTTAATTATAAATGAGCAGAAATAACAGAGATTATGCAAGCCGTGTGAGCCATTTGTTACGCATATACGTAGTCAATCGTTATGACGTTCATTTACTTGAATTGGATGTCATATTGAACATCGGTTAAATCGTATTTGCCAACCTTCGAGTCCGAAATATTGTTACGATAGCAATGATGTCGCTTTAATCGATAAAAACAATGAAACTTTATTCTAGGATATTTGTTTTATGAATTCAGTATTGTCCATTAAGAAATGAATTGCTCTTTGATGTTGATAAGTTAAACCGTAAGCGGTCATGGTTGCCGAATATTCATTGCATCAATGGTACCTCTTTCACTGTTTCATGCTTTTCTTTCACATCGGGTTTGCAAAAATTCTTCACAAGGGAGCCAATGTAAAATAGTTTCTACGTAATACATCCAAACAGATGTTTAAATGTCGATTGATAATATTATGGCGACAGTATTGTGTACTATGTCTATGGTAATATGAATATGTTTTAAATCAGTATTGTTCCTCAAATCCAATTTTCATCATTAATGGTAGCAGAATAGATAAAAGTCTGCTTTTACATTCAATATATTCTCATCGACATTTAAGAGTTCCTTTACATATGTATGTACGATGTCTACAGCGGTTACTAAAATGACAGACCATTCTTATATCGGGAAATCCTAAGGGAAATCGTCAATGAGATGGTTCACTTATCGCGAAGATTGCAACTTGCTCTTGTTGTACAGAATACATATAGACTCAGACAATCTGCCTCTATCACAAATTATATCTATTGATGCACTCACACAGGAATTGAATAAATGTCGATCGTCAAAACCAACATGCAGATGATTAGGGTTGATGCGCGGAATTCCTTTTTCCGAGATAGTCTTACTAATATATTTGATGTATTAATGGAATGGGTACACACAGTTCCTCTTGGGATATTATTTTATCAATAATTTATTGTTTCATTGAGTCAAAGCTAGAATTTAAAGATGGAACAACAACATCAGAATGAGTTATCATCCCAATGGTACTACTTAAAAAGTTCTTTACAGTGAGGGAAAGTGAGTAATTATTAACCTAGCATACGTTATAGTTGAAGACCCATCGTTAGAAGTTTAATTTAAAGGCGCACTTTTTATATTGTAGGTTATTCGAAATGAAAGAACTACAATGGGTTATTGTTCTTTTTACTCAAAACTATTACAAACTATGACGAAACTTAAATCAAAATGATATTTAAAATATTTCAAATATTCGAAAAGTTAGAGGCCAAAAGACGTTTTTTCAAAAGTCAGCTCCTTCAAAAATGTCACAACCAACTTATTTCATTACAAATTTTGTTTTAAAACTATTTTCAAACTTCACATGTACGCGGACTAGAGAGTGTAATATTGTGATTAAGACGATTGTAAATGAAAAGGAGAGCTTAAATTTCTCCACATTTGCAATTTCATCCAAGTTATATACCACTTGAAAGGGAAAATGAAACATAATACGTGGTATACGTAGGCCTAAATACATTCATGGATGGGTGGATTGGTCATCCTTTAATTGACCCTTTTCGATGAATCGAATGAAATTTTTCCTTAATATATGACTCCGATTGTTATATTCATACAAGCAAAATGGTATTAGCCATGGTCTAGGTATAATTTGTATATTTGGAAATACTGTTAGATCAAGATTGTTTCCATAAGGCAAACGTCCATCTAAGGTGTGAAATACACACATGGATGGATGGACTATCCTGATCCTGTATTTGACACAACGCCTTTCTAGATTATTGCTATACAGTGCGTAATGATATGAAATAATTTCGGTCCCATTGATGAGGTTGTCTAAATTTGCTGTTCTTATTATACACGAATAAAGCAGTGAATTACGATTCTATCAAGAACTTGTATATTTACTGATCGATAGACACACATTTTCCTGAAGGGTCTGCATAATTTCAGTACGAGGAACTCCAGGAATTTTTATTATGAGATGTCACAATCTATCTTAATCGAGAAGACGTGTAATGCAACCGTTGTCGGCGACCTGTTATTACGGTTTAATGTATCGAGCGTCTATCGTATTGTGTTTGTATTCATTGTTGATGACTTATAGCTCCTTATTCAATGGTTTTTTATGCTTCCAGGGTGACACGAGAATCCAATCTCCTGTATCAAACCGCTGAACACGTCTACGAGAGCCCCAAGCTTTTCAGAAAAAGGACCTACATCGACCGGACAATACAAGATAGATGCATTGATGATAAAGGACTTGTAAAATTATTTATCTCTGTGTATCATCTTCGTGATGGATTAATAAACAACGACAAACAATAGTAGGGGATAAAGACTTAAAGGAACAACATAATCATGGATCTAGCGAAGCGTATCCAATGTTTTTCAGTGATTATATATTGTCTTTTAGCAGCCAATGTGGCACTAAAAGTGAAGAAGGCCCCTCGAGATACTGCTGCTAAAGTAGGATCCACCGTAATACTACATTGTCATGTTGAAAAATCCAGACATGATCATTTTGTCCAATGGTTTGGCTATGCACCCCGACCTGACAAATATGGCGGTCAGATTTCGGCAAATGGTGAAATTGTTATCAGTGCAGCAGAATCGAAGTATTCAGTTAGCCGGGTTGAACCTTATAATCTGATCATTACCAATTTGGACAAAGATGACGGTGGCAGGTATAAGTGCAACGATGCGTACACAGGGGATGCCATAGGAGGAGTTCAACCACACTTAGTCGTCCTGAGTAAGCTACGTTGCCCAGAGGAAGTAACCACCTTGAATGAAAATCAAACTTTCCATATAAACTGTTCAGTGAATCATACTGGAGCTGCGGACATGAAAATGGTACCACATTTCAAGTGGATCATGAACGCGTCTCCAATGACGCGTGCTGTTACTCAAACAGGTCTAGACAGCACTACAACTACTGTCAGTATGATTGCTTACCCTAGTCTCCACGGCACCGAATTGACATGTGGGTACGAGGTAATGGGAATGCATGATCAATGTTATACAAAGCTAGAAGTTCGCTATGCCCCTCGACCACCTCGGATCAAGATTCATAATAAAGACGTAACCAAGAAAAACATAAGTGCACGACTTGGGGAAGGGATTATTCTGGACTGTGTTACTTCCGGTTTTCCATCACCCACATTTACTTGGCTCTACAAGGATCATGACGGTATATTTAAGCATCTAGCATTCGAGAGTAAGTTCAAATTATATGGATTGATGATGAGGCATACTGGGGAATATATGTGCGCAGTAAAAAATGATGTTAACAAAGTTGGCGAAAATACAACAGTATATCTAAAAATAGTTGATAGCCAAGCACACACATCCGAAGTCACTAGCCACCTAAAGAAGGGTGTCATTGCTGGTACCGTTATTGTAGTCATATTGTGTACAGTAGCAACAGTTATCATACTTTTAGCGTGGAGGGCTCGAAAAACACACAGACGAGTATTAAAAGCAGACGCGAGATATCGCGAGACTGCTCGAGACTCTCCAAACGCATCACCCGCGAGAACTCAGCGACAGGGTGATGCTGCAGTAAGGACAAGGACGCTTGAATTGCGATCCAAAGAACCAGAAACATGTAACTGTTCAGAAGCAGAGTGCTGCGAGGATCTTACAGATAGAACTAGGTTCATTTATGCCGATCTAGATGGAGAAACTACTGAACCGAAGACAACAACTGCGGCGTTAACTCTTGTATGACAGCGCTAATTTCAATAAATAAAAATAATGATCTAAATGATGTATAATAATATGTAAATATCGCTCCTTATCTAGTCATGCGTACATGTTCAGTATATCTGCTGCAATATAAGCTGTCATTTTTGAGTTAAATGCATGAGTGTGATACTATGAGATTGACAATGTTCTCACCAAAACAGTTATACATCTGAATTCCCTTCATCTGAGTTTATGATCTAGAGTTTCTACTCATCTGAGTCTCAACTCATCTGAGTCTCAACTCATCTGCCACTTTCATATACTAGTTTGAATTTCTACTCATTTCATTAATCATATGTAAATAAAATATTCATGGTACTTAATTCTCTGCGCATGCGTTGGAACGCATTGGTGTGTTCAAGGAGGATTGGCTCCCAAGTGCAACATCGATATCTTCGCCATATATGGGCATATCATGATTACAAAATTCGAATTCAAACAGCTGCCATGAATCGTGAATTTTGGTCTATTTCCAAAACTCACAAGAAATAATCGAATCTCTTGGACTGCTTATTTTGAATTCATAGTTGGTTAAAATTTCAGAAAATAACGACATTCGACGTTTTCATTGTTGGAAAATATGAGTTTCGATCCTGGGAGCCAATCCTCCATTGTGTTCCTCCATGGGCAATAGCGAGTTGGTTCGTGTAGTATTTCATCAAAAACTCAGTGGCAAATTGTTCCTTATATGAATGTTACCTTAGTTGAGTGTAAATTCTGATGTATAATTGTGCGGCGAATGTGATATACTTGATTGATACTGTAGACATTAATTTGTATAAATAATGTAAAAAGTTTTATATATGAAAAAAAAGTTTATAGAGCTGATAGTAGATATAATTTATTTCGTAGAATTCTGGATCAATTCGAGGTCATTATTTATCTCTTCATGACCAGTTAAATTATGTGTCCAGAGAAAGAGTTTATAATTCAATTGAACATATAAAGCGACTCAACTTTTTAACTTGCCAAAATATAAGTAGGGAAGTATCCTGTAATTTGAAATGTCCATATACAAACCTAGTTACTAAGAATACAAGAATTCCAAAAATGAATTACCAATAGTTGAAAATCTCTGCGAAGGATGAATGCTACTAATTTTTGAAAATACGATTAATTCGCATATTATAAGCATTTTTTCAAGTTTTGATATATTTACATAAACAATTCAATTGATGAAAATTGAAGTTACAGATTGTGGTGTTGTATAGAATTTTGGAGTATTTTAGGACAGGGTTGGAGGTTGGGCCAAAATCGTACTGACTTTGGCTGGTCATTTAAAAAAAATATACCATCTCATTACCGACGCTTATACCCAGTTAAAGATTAATCCTCCGTGTGTAACAACATAGACCGTGCTTTATCCGTCTATCCTATAAACTACTAATACTATACATCACGAAACGATCATGAAACGATCAAGGGATAGGTTTCCAATTACTAAATGTTGAAATGTAGAATCATCTTATCATCTATCGCAGATCTATGTATGATAAAAACACATGATTCATTTATTTGTAATAAACGTGTCATATATTTGTTGGTAATACAGCTGATTTCTCTCAGACTGATATACTTGTGGCGCCAAAGCTTTCACTGCATACAAACATGTATATACACACAACATGCTATTGTTTGGCGGAAGAGTGATTCGTTTTCCATATATAAAACAGGGTGTCTCGTAAAAATTGCACTGGGCTGTATGGCACAACAGTTGTAATCTGTACATAACATATATTTCCGTTAAGGTGCAGTGGTACTTAACAGGAAATGACAAAACAGGAAGTGACAAAATGTGGCATTTTTAGACATTTTTTAACAAAGAAACAGAGTTCTGTTTTGACCTCCAGTCAATTCAAATAATTCCACATATCATTAACAGGACAAGGATCACAATGTACATGGTCAGAATGACCCTAAACATGATGGAATAACTTTTTTAGCCCTCTTAAAATGTGACTGGAAAATTGCTAAAAGTAGGAGCTTAGGAAAGGTCACTGAACAGAATCTTTTGAACTTTTCTGAAAATGTGCCAAATATATTGCTCTAAATAATACAATCTTTGAAAATCTGATATCATTCGGAGAAAGAAAAAAAAGAAAAAAAAAATGAATTGAAAGGCGATATATTTTCCTTTTTATGACCGCCATTTTTGTTTCAGAAAATTTTCTAAAATTTCGAAGATTGTATCAAAATTCAAAAGATTCTGTTCAGTGACCTTTCCTGAGGGGCTACTTTTACCTATTATTCAGTCACATTTTCAGCGGGCTGAAAAGGTTATTTCACCATGTGTAGGCATTCTGACCATGGACATTGTGATCCTGGTCCTGTAAATGATATGTGGAACTATTTGAATTGACTGGAGGTCAAAACAGAACTCTGTTATCTTTGTTCAAAAATGTCTAAAAATGGCACATTTTGTCACTGCCTGTTTTGTCATTTCCTGTTAAATACCACTGCACCTTAATCATTCTCTCATTTGTTATTCAATGCGTTTTTAGTGAGACGGAAGGGTTTTATAAATTGAAGAATATTTTATTTTGTATTACTTATTTGAAAAATGCCTCGTGTAAAGTAATTTTTATATGCTACATTATAATTGTAGCAAACATAAGTATTCAATTGATTTCATCTACGTTGTATAGAAAGGAAGAAATTAACAAATTGATTTCTATATTTCCCGGCCTAGGCTAGAATGCGGATACTGACATTTGAGTGTTTACGAGAGGTGTGTTAAACATTTCAAAACTGTGCATTGTTTCCTAGGGTCAATGAAATAGATCAATGCATTATGATTAATATCAATTGTTTCAACATTCTCATGGAATGTATTTTCGTGAAAAAATTCCTCTTGATTAATATGGCTATGAGGCTCTCCAATTTGAATCAATAAAAATGCACATAGTAGCCTCTCTCAATGTTTCAGATTAAAGGAATTATTGGCTAAACATACGGAAAGGGCCTTTTAGTATTGACTTATGAAACAATGGCTTTACTAAACTAAAGAGAACACACAAAATGTCTGACGTTTTACCATCTGTATGTAATCAAAGTATCAATTCCAAGATCAATCATATACTGCAAAGAATGTATGTATGTGTAAATATGACAAATATCATATGATGTGAAACATATTTACTCGATATTGATACGTTTGTTAGTCAAGGGCTTTGAAAGGCTCCGTACATCTGGTGGAAATGATGCAGATGATTATAGTGATAAGGAGCATTGAATAATTCTACAATATTCAAACTATCATTTGCTGCTATGTATTTTTGCAAGAATAATTGCTTTGTGGCAATTTTGTTAGATAGATGCAGCCGTTTCTTGTCATGATAATAGAAATTCGATGGTAATTTAATAACCAAGTGTCAAACTAGAAATACTTTACTATTGCATTTGTATTGTCTGTTATAAAAATATGATTTCCTGAAATTAATAGCTGTATTATTGGTCATCGTTTTTCTGATTCTAAAATATATGTTCCTACCTAGGTCAATAAAGATATGTGTCACTGTTAAAGGAATGCCATTCTTTATTAGTTTGCTAGCTGGTATATTCATTTCTGCTTGTATTTTACTCATCTTGATTCACAAGGATTCAGTAGCTCAAACCTCATGATACCTTGGAATTCGAAGATGTCTTTTACTTGCATTTGCGAAAACAACTTCACACATAGCTAAGCAAGGTGTGACCGATTCCAGCCATTCCGAACACAGTATTTCACATTTGTAACAGTGTGTGAAATATCAATAACACATGCAAGGTCATTAGTTAAACAGTTGTCACGGTGATGAATGGACTTTTCACATTGGATTTGATAACTTGCCAACTTGACCCTTGCAAAAAATGCCATTGAAAATGTGTTCTTTTAGTGATTTCGTTCCTTTTGGATGATTTTGTAGGA